GCTGTTACATATGGATATGAAAGTACGGCTCCGTGGATTTTGAATGTTCGTATCAACGATCACGTTTTCCCCACTAACATCTTCTAGATTTAAACTGTGTTCAAACTGTCCAAAAAGTGGAACTTCTACTCCTCTTTTCCACAACTTTGAACGAACTGAGTAGTGACATGCGTTCTGTGTTTAGAGTTCCTCGGGTCGGTTCCATCGCAGAATAGAACGGCGTTGTTACAACGTTGTACATCACTCAGATACATAGTGCTACAGGTCCATCTCTTAGTAACGCATAAGTCATAATTCCTTTGGAACTTATCTAACTTCTTCAAACTGTGAAATGTCAACCGCTTGCGGCCCATCAAGTTAGGCACTCTGACGACTGCCATCTGTCTCTTAACTCTTTCATCACGTCCAACAGCATCAATCTTAAAGAAACAGTTAACTGTAGATCGGCTGGACTAAGGGGTAGTCGAAGACTGTTATATCAACAACAACTCACGAGCATGGCGTTAGGTTCTTGAAAAAGTGGAACGGAACAAACGCTTCTTTACCTTCTGCTAATATGACGTCAAAAAACCCAAACGTTGGTGCTGGAATGTGGAATTAACTTTTTTTCATACTGTTATATCCGAGTGGAGATTAAATTACAGGTAACTTCCGAGGACTATTCATGGACTAATATTCTTACTGTATAACTACTCAACAATTACACTATGTATATTTATATCCCTCTTATGACAAGCTTTATTTTGGCCTATAATTTATTATTGTACGATTTACGGTTCTTAAGTTATGTTCAGTTTATTAACTACTGCCTCCCACATTCACAGCCACTTTTTGGGCTTATTTGTGTACAAATATTATTTCCTATTTTATGGTACGTTGCGGTCTGTATGATTGATATATAAACCAAGTATGCCTGAAATAAACGATCTGCTCTGATTCGGAAGCTGGTATCTTGTTCTGGACTCAAGTGGAAGGGCTCGTAGGACATAGGACCAATAAGGACGCTAAACTGCTCACACCGGTTGAACGTCATTGGTTGGCCTAGTGTGAAGATTCGTATAAGTCGTATTCGGATTGGTAGATAGATCGTGTGATCGAAAAGTCAGACATCCAAGGTCATAACACATACAAAAAGCAATAACAAAGCAATACAAAGTGATGCATAAATACTTCATAGATAGCTGCTGTTGTACTCAATAAACTTACGTTTAGTCACTAAAATCCTTCATATACCCACAGACACAGAGTTTAGTATCATACTCATAGATTCTATTCGGTTAATGAGCTCCTTACCCACTCAACATCCAGTTGTGACCAGGGAGAAAGAAACGTTACTTACTTCTTAACCAACGAAACGGTCGAAATCTGTAATCCCTACGTTTGATAAATCAGTACTAGACGAAGCCAATCCTTCGGCTTATGAACTCTTCCCTTCTCATCTACAAAAATTGCTGTCACCGCCTGACTTTCCAAACCGAAACCCCTCCACCTTTTCGGACAGTATGCTGACGGTAAAACTGGTTGATATAAAAGGTACGATACCCACGCGCACTGAAAAGTCAATAAAGTGTATCTGTCAGCATGATTCACTAGGGCCAAAATACAAAAATTCAAAGGCAGGGAGTATAATATTTTACCGTGTGCACTACAAAATACCGACCACTCTAGTACGGATATCCATCAGTCACAAAACTCACTTGCTAAAATTAGCAGTAAAATTAAATAGTTTGCACACCTCAAACATATATGGGTCCCGAATAGTGACAAATACCCCAAACAACTCACTAAATTTGAATGCATCCTAATTTTTTGTAGCTGAAGTATTAACGAAAAGAGCGACGCCAATGTTATGTAAGAAAACGTAGAGCAATAAAATCGCGTGGTCAAGTTACAGCAAATGAACATCGAGAGGTGGCTTGCAATTGTGTAAAGTGTATCAAACATATTCCCCTTGAGCATGATCTGTATACATAAAAGACAGATCACTCCGTAGACCTAGATAAGTCTGGAAGTCAGAAATCTTCGATTAGGATATGGATTCCAACTCACACCAAAAAACGTAACGACATTTCTATTTCTAGTCCAGATTTCTCACATAGTAAAGTGCTTGAATGTGAGTCATATGACGACAAACAACCAACTGAACATAACCAGGTAAAGCTAGTTCTCCTGAAGGTACGACACAAAATAACCCGAATAAAATTCAATTAATTTCACGAACAGGAGGAAACTCTTCGATTCTGGCAAAGAAGGGTGAAACTGCAAATCTCACCACATATATAAATATGCTTCAACCCGACTTCTCTATGGCTCTTCCAGGAACAGTTGAAATATTCAATTTTCTGGTATCATGTAACTTCAACACATCTAAACAGCAGAACTAGTGGTTAGAACAAGCACAATCAACCTTTGAGCACTCAAACTAATAATGATTACTGAAGTGCTTTTTTACGATGCAGCATAGTTTGATGTGGAACGGGTTGCCAATACCTATCTGTAAGTGTGACACTATCACCAAGTTTGAAAGACTAATAACCCTGTTACTTGACACCAAAGAGCTTCATCAACCATTCGTATTACTTCCACTCAAAAATGGACTGCCCAATATCTAGAATGATCATGAATATAGTGGACCCCAATGTCATTAATATGGATATAACTAAATGACAGAACTAATGGTTCCTCTTCTCCCATTGCTCATTGATTATTAGTCATGCCTTTATGCTCCTACTCCTCACATTCAGATTCTGAATCTCTTTGATGTTTAAAGTCACATTATTTCCATCAAGAAGCTACATGTTATATTTTTTATTACAAGCAGACAGATTACTGACCTTACGGATGCTGCTCAGCTGTGGCTGATCGTAAGAAACTCATAATATCTTAACGTCCTATGAGTTCCTTGTTAAGTTTTTTTCTCGGTTACTTACCTTCGTACTCTGAAATTTCGAAACCCTTTGTTTTTTTATATCTTTTGCTCTGCATCTGTTTTATCATCTCTAAACCACATACCATCGAAGTAGTACCTTATAACTTCTACCACTAGTTAACTATATGGCAGTATGGTATACTAAATGAAAATCAAACCTACAATACGAATTGTTTAGTTGTCTGTAACGTGGAACCAGTAAAGATATCGCATTCCTACAAGGGTTGCAACAGAGCTTACATTTAGGCAATATCCATACACACAATAAATATAAGACTGCCTAAAATCACAAAAAGGTGGTGCTACTGACCAGCAAACATGGTGTTGGTGAAAAAACTTCAGCCTACCCACGTCTGTAGAGCAGAATATTTTGTTAAATCATGGCTGCATATAGTTTAGCGAAATGTAACTAATCAACTGTATTGATACCAGTTTCTTATACCAAGTACTTCTGACTCCAGTTTATAAGCTTGAGTTGGTTTCGCTTACTTCCGAGAAATCTTAATAGAAGCAAGAACTAAACAATCACAATAAATTCGATTCCATTCATGACTCTGCCTAAATAATAATAATGAGTTATAATAATTTCGACGAATAATAGTCATTTGTGTACCCAGACACTGTGTTTTACTTACTAAAATTTAGAAATACATATAATCCCAAACTTTCAGCATTTTGTCCATTCATCGCTTTGGCTTGTTTTCTTTAAGTTATTGAAATACACATGGTTAAAGATTGACCTAGTGTAAGAGTAATTTTACCTTAATTATTTCGTAGCAAATGACTAAACCTCACTAGTTCAAATGTTGTTTATTCATCCTCGTCCTTTTCCGAAGATGGTGGGTGGGGCATAGATTACGGAAACCATCAGATTGCATCACGAGAGAAGCGCTAAGTTTAAATCCTGGAGGGAAACGGAAAAGAGGAAAGCCGAAGAACACACTACGTCAGAAATTAAGGGAAGACATCAAAGGATGAATATCAACTGGGAAGGATTGTCCAGGCCACAGTTGGATAGAGAACGTTGGTGGGCGGCCCATGCTCCTTCACGAGGGATGACAGGCGTAAGTAAACAAGTACAATGAAGACAAGTTTATTAAATGAAAGCCACAATCAGTGTGGGACAAAAAATCCTTGTCGATTAACTTATCGGATTTCACGTCTTTCTACTAGATATAGTTTGTCCTAATAATTCACATATTTTTGATGAAAATCCTCATAAAGATGAGAAAAATATGTCAAATGAATCAAATCATGATCGGAAATCTGATGAAATTTTGATAGATGCTGATTTTTTTAATGATCAACTAGAAACTTTTACGATGTACACAATCTGTTAAGAACTATTGACCGAGCAGTTAATAATATAAGCTGAACTACTAGAAATCCAACGGTGTTAATGTCTAACTTCAACCAATCCACGAAGTTGCGCCACCGTACACCATTGTCTCCAGTGAGTTGTTATCTCACAACAGACCTGGTTGAACTCCACTGGTAACGGCTTCTCACTAGAACTCCAGTTACCAGTGGAGTTCAACCAGGTCTGTTGTGAGATAACAACTCACTGGAGACAATGGTGTACGGTGGCGCAACTTCGTGTATTGGTTGAAGTTAGACATTAACACCGTTGGGTGCCGGATCAGTGGTCTAGTGCTCGCGCGCGAAGCCATTAGGTCCTGGGTTCGAATCCCGTTGGGTGAGGTATCGTGGATGCACACTGCTGAGGAGTCCCGTACTAGGACGAAATGGCCATCCAGTGCTTCCAGGTTTTCCATGGTGGTCTAGCTTCAATTGATTCATGATTTCAACTTGTAAAATTTTTAAAACTATTCACACAACCCATCCTGAACTACTAGATTTGGTAACTATTTAGGAATATAAACTAAATGATAGTGATTAGTCAAGATAAAATTTTCTGAAGAGGATCAATTTAGCCATTTAGCAGGTAAATCTTAAAAGACTTCTAATGTGGGTCGATGTGAAATTCGCACAGTTATAATACTCATTAATAAGGAACGACATTACCTAAACATGGTATTGAAAATAAAGCTGTAAAATAAAAAGGAGCATCCCAGAATAGAAATCATTTTTATTTATTTACAAAAGGATGTATATACAAAATGATATTAATTTCTGATAAAATAAGTAATACACATAAGTACCATTATCTCCACACGAATTCACTATGAAGCAGGCCTCTCACAAACAGCCTGTAGAAAAACACGCTGCACACACAGGTCTTTAGCTGCGTTTCTCGTTTCTTTGTGAACATAATGAAGGCGATGCACAAACAAACCAGCATTTGAGAATAAATCAGATAGTTCGTCTTTTGTAAAAAAGTAAGACAGTGTTCCATCTTGTCTAACATAGGATGGTCGATCAGCAAATAAACGAGAGCCCCTACCAAATCTCAATTGAGCATGATCATATTGACCGTAATCACGAAACAAAAGTCGCCCGCCGGGTGAAAGGATGCTGATTGAAAATTTAAAGACATGAAAATAATTCAATGAAATTATCATGATACAGTCAGTAAGCTACAACATAGGACTAGGCACATATATGCATCGGTTTAAGTTGCCATACCTCATTAACAAAACAAGATGAACAAATTTTTAGAAGTAGTTACTTCAATGGTAGTAATATATAAAATAAATATGTATAGGGATATAGTACAGGAAGATATAAAGCAATTTTAATCTCACAGTTTAAGGGAAAACAAAGGGTGTGTAAACGCATACCATTGTGATCGATTTTGAACCATGTAACCCATAATCTCCAACTATTGGTTACGATAGTCACACAGACACCAACCAAGTAGTCTGCATCAACCAAAATGGCTCAGACTAGAAGTTAGTGACTTAAAGCACTGACGCCACGTTTTGGTTTGGCCGCCCCTAACTTTCTACCATCCTTCTCCGACACTAGTCAGCATTGCGCGTCGTGGTAATTGGTGTTCAGACATACGTAGCACGTGGCCTAACCATCGCAGCCGATGGAAATTCACAACCTCATCAACTGACTTACCGTCATTGCTTAATTAATACAATGCGTCTCGCTTTCGCCATGGGTGACACAAGTTGGCAAAAGCCAAACAAGCTTTTTGAATCGTACAGACTTCGTCAGACACCGACCCATTAGATTCCCAAGATAAGTGGAGTTGTCGTCTACGCGTTCGACTACTTCACTCCCTATCCTTAGTTCAGGTGTTGACTGAAGCCGGCCATTCGTGAAGCAACAACTTGCATTTACTTACTTACGCCTGTTACTCCCAATGGAGCATAGGGCGCCGACCAGCATTCTCCAACCCACTCTGTCCTAGGCCTTCTTTTCTAGTTCCATCCAATTCTTGTTCATTTTTCCCATGTCTATCTCCATCTCTCGGCGTAATGTGTTCTTTGGTCTTCCTCTTCTCCTTTGGCCTTGAGGATTCCATGTGAGGGCTTGTCTTGTGACGCAGTTGGGTGCTTTCCTCAATGTGTGTCCTATCCACTTCCAGCGCTTTTTCCTGATTTCTTCCTCCGCTCGGATCTGGTTTGTTCTCTCCCACAGTACGTTGTTGCTAATAGTGTCCGGCCAATGGATCTGAAGTATTTTGCGTAGACAATTGTTAATAAACACCTGTATTTTCTGGATGATGGCTTTCGTAGTTCTCCAGGTTTCTGCCCCATACAGTAGAACTGTCTTGACATTTGTATTGAAAATCCTGACCTTTGTGTTGGTTGACAGTTGCTTTGAGTTCCAGATGTTCCTCAGTTGTAAATATGCTGCTCTTGCTTTGCCGATCCGCGCCTTCACATCTGCATCAGATCCACCCTGTTCGTCAATGATGCTGCCCAAATACGTAAAGGTTTTTACATCTTCCAAATCTTCTCCGTCAATTTTGATTGGATTGGTGCATTCTGTGTTGTATCGGAGAATCCTGCTTTTCCCTTTGTGTATATTGAGACCTACTGCTGCTGAGGCTGCTGCCACACTGTTTGTCTTCTCCTGCATCTGTTGTTGCGTTTCGGATAGAAGGGCCAGATCGTCTGCGAAGTCTAGATCATCCAACTGCATCTTAGATGTCCATTGTATCCCGCGCTTCCCTTCAGACGTTGACGTCTTCATGATCCAGTCGATCACCAGGAGAAAGAGAAAGGGTGAGAGTAGGCAACCTTGCCTAACACCGGTCTTCACTTCGAACGACTTTGTCAACTGTCCTCCATGCACAATTTTGCAGTGTAATCCATCATATGAGTTCTGTATGATATTGACTATCTTCTGAGGCACGCCGTAGTGTCGAAGAAGTTTCCATAGTGTTGTTCTGTCCACGCTGTCAAATGCCTTTTCGTAGTCAATGAAGTTGATGTAAAGCGATGAATTCCATTCAATTGATTGTTCCACAATGATCCGTAGAGTTGTGATTTGGTATGTACACGATCTATCCTTACGGAATCTTGCCTGTTGGTCACGAAGTTGGGCGTCTACGCAGTCCTTCATCCTGTTTAACAATACCCTGTTGAAGACTTTTCCCGGTATTGAGAGAAGAGTGATGCACCTGTAGTTATCACACTTGCTGAGATCGCCTTTCTTCGGTAGTTTGATCAGAAGTCCTTCTTTCCAGTCTGTTGGTACTTGTTACTCATCCCAAATCTTATTGAAGAGAATGTGGAGTATCCTTGCAGTTGCCGCTACGTCTGCTTTTAGTGCCTCTGCTGGAATGTTGTCCGGTCCTGCTGCTTTGCCACTCTTGATTTGTCTGATGGCCATGCTGATTTCTTCAATTGTTGGTGGGCTAACATTGATTGGGAGGTCCGTGGGTGCTGCTTCGATGTTGGGTGGGTTCAGTGGAGCTGGTCGATTCAAGAGTTCTTTGAAGTGTTCTACTCACCTGTTTTGTTGCTCTTCAATGTTGGTGATTACCTTGCCTTCCTTGCTTTTCACTGGTCGTTCTGGTTTGCGGCGATTTCCAGAGAGTTTCTTTGTCGTGTCATACAGTTGTCTCATGTTTCCTTCTCTTGCAGCCTTTTCCGCCGTCGTTGCTAAATCTTCCACATATTTACGTTTGTCGGTTCTGATGCTCCTCTTCACTTGTTTGTTTATTTCCGTGTATTCAGCTTGTGCCTTGGCTTTTTCTGCTCTTGTTCGGCTGGTATTGATTGCTGCTTTCTTGTTCCTCCTTTCTTGAATCTTATCCAGTGTACCAACAGTGATCCATTCCTTGTGATGGTGCTTCTTGTGACCCAGGACCTCATGACATGTTGAAGTGAATGCCTCTTTGATGCCCTTCCAGTTGCTCTCCACAGTAGTTCCTTCTCCATTGAGTAGATCATGAAAGGCCTGGAACTTGTTGCTGAGGACTATCTTGAATTCGTTGAGTTTGTTAGTATCCTGAAGAAAGGCCGTATTGAACTTTTGTGATATTGTCCGCCCCGTTGTCCAGTGTTTCTTGAGTTTCAATTTCATCTTGGCGACCAGCAAGTGATGATCTGATGCTATATCAGCTCCCCTCTTGGTTCTCACGTCCTCTATAGTCCTCCTGAACGTTTTGTTGATGCAAATATGGTCGATTTGGTTTTGTGTTGTGTGATCCGGTGAAGTCCATGTGGTTTTGTATATGCGTTTATGTGGGAATATGGTGCCGCCCATGACCAGCTTATTGAAGGCACATAGATTTGCAAATCTCTCACCATTTTCGTTTCTTTCTCCCAGTCCGTGTCGTCCCATGATGTCTTCATATCCAGTGTTATCCGTTCCAACCTTGGCATTGAAATCTCCCATCAGAATGGTCAGGTTCTTTGTTGGGCACTTCTCGACGATTGACTGCAGCCTATTGTAGAATTGATCTTTAGCGTCTTCATTGTAGTCGTTGGTAGGCGCATAGCATTGGATGATGTTCATTGAAACACCCTCTTTCTTTGTTTTGAACGAGGCTTTGATGATCCTTGGTCCATGATATTCCCATCCTATAAGCGCATTTTGCGCTTGTTTGGACAGCATCAATGCAACTCCTTGTGTATGTGGTGCATTTTCTTCTTCATGACCGGAGTATAACAGGAGCTCTTCTGTAGTTAGTCGTTGTTGTCCAACTTGTGTCCAATGTGTTTCACTGATCCCAAGTACCTCTAGGTTGTATCTTCTCATTTCTGCAGCAATTTGGAAGGCTCTCCCGGTGTCCCACATTGTACGAACATTCCATGTACCTAAATAAATGGTCGCTCTGGTTGTCAGAAGGGGCATCGGCCTCGTAACTTCCGAAGGAATTCGGCTTTCATCATGAGGCGTGGGAGAAATGCATCCCAAACATCCTAGCATTGTTGTTCAGTGCTACTAAAAGATTCTACATTTTATCAGCGTCTTCACTAGACAGGACTATATCATCTGCGTATTCTAAGTCGATAAGTGGAACTCCTGGTAGGACACCAATGCCCGGAAATTCAGTCGACGAGAGCGCCATTTCCAGTAGCAGGTCTATGATGAAGCTGAACAAAAATGGAAAAATGGACAGCCCTGACGGACACCACTTGAGGTTGCAAAAGCAGATGACAGTTCGCCATAAGCTCTGACTCGATTGGTAGTATTCAAATAAAGAGCCTTCATAAGGTTTATTTACTTGTGAGGCACACCTTTCAATGACAGACACTGCTGCTTTTAAGTCAAGAAAAACTATCATTGTCGGATGCCGATAAACATGCCGGTGTTCTAAAACTTGACGAATGGTGAATATGTGGTCGTTACAGCCACGACCAGGTCTGAAACCAGCCTGATTTTCTCGTGTTTGCAGTCCACGAGTCTTTGTTAGACGCTAATTACTGGCGACAATTATTGAGACTAGTATTTTAGATGCTATAGTAGTCAAACTGATCTCTCTATGGCTATAACAGGATGATTCTGACCCCTTATTATATATTGGGACAATCAGTGATTGCGACCAGTCAGATGGGCTATCATGGTACAAGATTTTAAAAATCTCTCGTGCACTTTGATCATGTTTGTGTGTGCGTTCATACAGATGGTTACAATATAACGGGTTATGACAAAAACAAGTACAAGAAACCTACGTATTTTAAAATAAACTGTGTGTCAAATCATCATACAAAATGTACAATCACTGGAAGAGTTAAGTTCTAAAACATAACTATCGATTTTAACAATGACGAATGCAGATTTTTTAACAGAGAGTAAAAACATCACGCAAGCCGAACTGATATGAAGAGAATGAATGACTTTATTGACTATCGATGAGGAAAATAAGCATTTGAATAATCGTGGATATCAGGTTAAGTGATATTTAACGAACTGGTTAGGGAAATGTATTATAATTATTAGCAATGCTAACCCATTACTGGAACGCGTATAAAAACGAACATTCAAGAAAGTTCTGTTGCGTAAAAATATAGTATAAACTGTCAATTTATATGAAAGTAAACTTAAAATTATAAACACACTAAACAATGTGAAACGGAGTCTTCCATAGAAAATTTCTTGGCAAAACCATTAAGAAGTGATTTTGTCCCCAGATGCCCTGGTACGGCTGAGGGTAGTGAGAATTAGCTCTCCCTCACCTAGGGGAGTTGGAAAACCCTGATTCCAAACCTATGGTGCACATGGGCTCCAGTTTCCTGGGGGAACAAATGGCGTCTGGACCAATTATTGGTCACCGGCTACCATGGGACTGCACCTCCTGATGTTATTCCACTGCTTTGTGGATTAGATCTTCAGGTCAAAGGTTCCTTAAGAAAAACACCTGCTTCGGTTTGGACACCCGGGCAGTATCGTAGCCGATACACAATTCAAGTGACTAGTGTGGGACATATATTTTCAGTGCCCTTTGTATCAATATTTATGTATTCAAATAAATAAATAAATAAATAAATAAATAAGTGATTTATTTAAGTGTAGTTTCAAAAACTAACCTTGCAACATTACAAAGACATGTGAGCATTTCTTGTGGGTTTAGTGCAGATAGCACAAAAATTAATGTTACTAGATCAACACCATGTTCAGTATTGTTGAATTCTTGATCACTAACTGAATTCAAACAGGACAAAGCAGCTTTTAAAGAATAGGGTTTGGTTACATCACAAACAAATGCATTACAATTAGCTGGAAGTTCCTTGAGACGCTCATTCAATATGTCCACAGCACGTTGTGAAATATCGCAAGCATATATCCTTGAAATTCCTATTTTTATAAAAAATAACAAAAGGTTATACTAAATTGAGCATGTTGAATAGATGAAAGTAAATTAACTAAGAAATTGTGAGAATCTTTGACTTTATGTTAATATTTCATACGAGGTAAAAAATTTTATTGGTACCATAGTGAATAAAGTGATATTTTATTACTACATTTTTATAAGAGTCTACTCGTTAGAAAATGTAATATAGTAAATATGACAACTGACGGGATATAAATACTGTATTCATGATAAAAATTTGTAAGGATAGCCAACAATTATGGCTTGAGCCACTGAATAAACATCTAATTCCATAAAATTACAAGTAAAAACTAACAATAAGTGCCAAAAATTTATTCGATAATAAAATTGAAACAACTAACACCTGTTTTATTTATACAATATGTACAACTATTTACGTTTAATGTCAGAAGGGGCTTCAAGGGGTATATCCTGGAGTTCTAGTGAGAAGCAGTGACCAGTGGGATTCAACCTGGTCTGTTGTGAGATAGTAACTCACTGATGACAATGGTGGATGTGTGGCTCGATTTCGTGAATTAGTTGAAGTTAGACATTAACACCGTTGGATGCCGGCCCAGTGATCTAGTAGTGAAGCGCTCACACGCGAGACTGATAAGTCATGTGTTGGAATCTCGCGAGGCGGGGTTGTGGATGTGCACTACTGAGGAGTCCCACAATAGGACGAAACGATCGTCCAGTGCTTCCAGGTTTTCCATCGTGGTCTAGCTTCAATTGACTCATGATCTCAACTATTGATATTTACGTTTAGTCATCAACAATATAACATCCGAAAACAGATGAGAACTCATGATTTAAAAATATGTAAACAATAAAATTTAAATTATATATTCTGGAGATTTAAGTAGAAAACTACCGGGTATAACAGTAATATTTAACACATCTTGATAAAAGTTTATACCTCTTAAAGATATTTATTGAATTTTCGAATAAATTAAACCACAAGTCTCTATAATATAAATGACTTCTGCTACTATGCCTGTGTGAATAAGTCAATTAATAATAAAATTGAAATTGTAGAGTGGTGCATAACTTGCAACGAGATAACCACCTAGTCAGCAGACCCTTTGCTGATTTTTTACTTCTATGAATACTTAACCGACAAGTGGTTGGTACTGACTGAAATCCTTAATTCGACGACGCGTAGTGAGAACACAAACTAGCGATATAAATTTATTATCTAGGTCAAATAAATTCTTATAATTAGTCTGGGTTCTTACTACGCGTCGTCGGATTCGAGGTCTCAGTATGGAGCACAAGTCAGTTAAGCATCCCACCGATATAACACTGACCACTTGATCTAGCAAGCTCTAGCAAAATGTACATCTCCACCCAATAACATGAAAATTACTAACCATATTATTTTACTTGAAGTACAAACTAACCCTTGATCTCCCGACCGAAGCTGCTACCTTGACGCGGTGGTCGGGCTTGCCTATCGTGATGACCCAACCGAGCTATATTGGCTGGAACATATTTTCCTGTAGGTTCTACCATGCCAGGCAGGTCGATTGGAGAACGGTAAGACTAAAAGCAGCAACTCAAGGTCTGAGGGCGAAGTCGTACTGCTGACAGTAGAGGGGTGTGACAGCAGTAAGGTGTTTCCCTCAGACAAACAGCATCTGCAGCGATGCTGCCTTCCCACAAGGAAGGGTGGGGTTAGAAAAGGTCGACCCTAAAAATGTCACACCTCACCTTACCTCACGGATTTCCGTCTCTGGCGGTAAGGCCCTTTGAAGAACGGAGCTAACACATTAAAAACCTTTCACGAAAAGGCCGTGCGCAACCGGCCTCAAGCAGTTGTCCCTCGGGCTCTGAGGTCACACTCCCAGGTCGTTAAGACCAACACTAATCCAACTTCCTTTTCAGACTACTCAAGAAATACCCTTCCACAGTGTAGGCAGCCGGGAAGTGATATCAGCCCTCATACCCGTAACAACACACAAGATCAAGTTGGTCACATTCAAATCATTCCTACATCTCCTAATACCTCTCTTATCTCCATGACTAACCCTCCTCACGTCTCTTTATCACCCAGCATCGCTGGGGCAAACGAATAGAGTACGCGGAACGCTATTCCTGGTCTCCTGAAACCACGCTCTAAACTACACGTAGGGGCTTTTAACGTCCGAACACTGTGCCAAATAGGACAGCAGGCTTCCTTAGCTAGGATTTTAGAATCCCGCGTCATCGATGTGGGCTGCATCTCCGAAACGCGCATACAAGATCCGAGTAGCGTCATTCATTTGACCTCACCATGTCAAAACAAAGAACAACTCGATTCACACTTCGTGTATCTGGAAGCCCTGATTCTGCTTCCCGTGGCCTCGCCGGCGTAGGTATAGCATTGAGTCCTAGGGCAGAACTAGCACTCTTAAAGTGGGTCCCAGTAGACAGTCGTTTGTGCGCTATCCGACTGAACGGAACAGTAAGGATCCGAAAAGATAGGGACACTCACCGTTGCCTCTTCGTCGTCTCTTCCTATTCTCCCACTGACTGCAGTGCAGATGATGTAAAAGATGAGTTTTACAGAAAGCTCTCCGACCTTGTCCGAAAAGCTAGGCGCCCGGATGTAGTAATAGTGACCGGTGACTTTAATGCTCAAGTAGGTAAACTAAGCGATAGGGAAAGACACCTGGGTGGATCTTATAGTGTCGTGGCTCAAAGAACAGATAATCGCGACCGTCTGTTGCAGCTATGCTCAGATAACCACCTGTTCCTTGCAAATATCAACTTTAAGCATAAGGAAAAACATCTTTTAACATGGCGACCCCTAATTCGTCCCAACGTTGGAACCAAATAGATCACATCGCTATCAGCCACCGATGGAGGAGCTCGATAGGAGACTGTCGCTCATTCTGGAGCACATGCTTAGATTCAAACCATGCTCTAGTACGAGCGCGTATTTGCCTTCGTCTTACTGGACGCAGGAAAAACGCTGCAAGGAAACCTCTTAGGGCCTACTTAATGATAGTCAAGCTAAGAGTATATTTCAGAAACAACTAGAAAAACAGTTGAGCAGCCATGTATGTGATGCCCACACCGAGGCAGCATGGAATGATATCCGAAAAGCTGTGGAAACAGTAGTGATATATGCTAGTAAGGTAAACTACAAGGTTAGGGAGAAACACTGGATCTCAGCAACATCTACCGCACTGATAGATCCTCGAAAACTCATTCCACCTGGCTCTGGACATAGTGAAGAGCGGGGTCAGCTTAAGCGCAAGCTGACAAGAAGTCTACGCAATGATCGTGAACAGTGGTGGGTAGCGAAAGCAAGAGAGATGGAAAAGGCAGTGGCAATAGGTGATAGCAGACAATTGTTCAGACTTGTTAAGGAAACCGGTATTAGGAACCCGACTGTTAGCGAAGCAACCTCAGAGAAAGATGGACATATTATACATTCTCAATCTAGGAGATTGGATCGATGGGCAGAAGACTTTCGGGATCAGTTCAACTGGCCTTCAGCCACAGTTCGGTTTCCCACGATCTCCAGTCTACCTAAATGGCAAGTTAATGTAAGTCCTCCGACTCTTTGCGAAGTTGAAAAAGCTATAAAAAATCTGAGGCGAGGGAGAGCAGCAGGCCCTGACAGGTTTACCCCAGAGAATTTTAAGGATAGTAGTCCAGTATTAGCAGTGAGGTTAACTGAGATCTTAGGTAGAATTTGGGAACTGGACGTAATCCCATCTGACTGGTCTCAATCACTAATTGTGCCAGTCTATAAGGAAGGACAAAAGTTCTCTTATGACAATCACAGAGGAATCAGTTTGACAAATATAGTGTCTAAAATATTAGCTTCAATAATACTTCGACGCCTAACCAAAGCTCGTGAAGAACAGGCTAGAGTAAATCAGGCTGGTTTTCCACCTGGACGTGGTTGTATAGACCAGATATTCACACTACGTCAGGTTCTAAAACACAGACACACGTTCAGACGCCCCACAATCGTAGTATTTCTCGACCTTAAGGCGGCATTTGACTCTGTTGATCGTGGGGTTCTATGGCAGTGTTTGTCACTGAAATGAGCACCAAAGAAGTATATTAACCTTATAAAGGCTCTCTACTAGAACACAACTGGTCGAGTGAGAGCTTATGGCGAACTGTCATCAGAATTGATTACCTCAAGTGGTGTTCACAGGGCTGTCCACTCTCTCCATTCTTGTTCAACTTTATCGTAAACGTGCTTTTAGACATAACACTTTCCTCGTCTGGATTTCCAGGGGTTGAACTTCTATCGGGAGATTCACTTGTTGACTTAGAATATGCTGATGACATAGTTTCGTTTGGTGAAGACGCTCACAAAATGCAGTCTTCTGACCACCACATAAGCAACAATACAAGCATGTTCGGGATGCGATTTCCCCTCCCCTCGAAAAGCAAAATGTTGCTTCAGGATTGGGTTGCATTGACACCCGAACTAATGATAGGGAGTTAAGTAATTGAACGTGTCGATCGCTTCACTTATCTTGGAAGGATCATCAGCCCTTGTGGTCTGGTGTGTGACGAAATCTCAGCACGCATGCAGAAGGCTCGACTAGCTTGCTTTCGCCAACTTGCGTCATTTATGGCGTAGGCGAGATATCCGTCTATCAACCAAAGGACGAGTTTACTGCGCAGCAGTTCGTTCCGTCCTACTTTATGGCAGTGAAACATGGCCGGTAAGAGTAGAGGATATCCGTAGGTTACTAGTATTTGATCATAGGTGTCTTCGAAACATTGCTCGTATATCCTGGGACCATCGAGTAAGTAATGCAGTTGTTAGGAAACGGGTACTAAGGATGGCAAATCAATTGATGACGTAGTGAAACTTCATCAGTTGAGATGGCTGGGACACGTGTTACGTATGCCCAACCACCGACTGCCTCGACGTGCGATGTTCAGTGGTATAGAAGTAGGTTGGAAGAAAGATAGGGGCGGCCAGACCAAAACATGGCACAAGTCCATGAAGTCACTGACAAGTGGACTGAGTCATGTTGGTAGGTGTAGACTACCTGGTTGGGGACCGCGAGATGATAGCAACCGATGGTTAGAGACCCTGAATGACATGGCTCAAAATCGTTTGCAATGGACCAGGTGCATCCACTCTTTATGTTCTCCCAAATTCTAATCTTCTGAATTCTTCATGTCCCTTTCTTTTTTCTCCTTCCAAATTTATTTCACTGGATTATACTCATTGAATAACATCTTCAAACCCTAATTTTTCTGATTACAGCTTATAATTTTACTACATCTAGCACTACGGGATTTGAATCGACCACTGCATCTCTGTGCTAATGTGGTGTGGCAACTCGAACTGATGTACGTACGTACGAAGTTCTACGTTGTTACTGACTGGCTAAACCCTTGATCTCTTTCCACAATAGGTATTTTGTAATAAACAACTGTATATGAATGGCATGACGAGAAATGATCGGATAAATAACAATGATAAAATGGGCCAAGAAATTTCTGTTACAAGATAGGGACGGTAGTTATGAACGGTCAATACATCAAATCGTTAATGTTACATTTTAATCCTAGTTCAAAGAGTTGACAACTGTGATACTGTCAATAAGATAAGCAATCTGATTTCAACTTGTATAATAATAAAAATAAGAGTTGAGAAAAACCAAACCATTGTTATCGATAAACTTTGTAACACAACACTATTGGTAGATGTACCGTTGCAAGTATAACCTAGATGTAAGTTGACAGATTCGACAGAGAAAAATAACATTGTGAAATAAACTGAATGAGAATAGTATTATGCTAAATAAGTTTACTAGCTTTAAGAAAATTGTAAGTGCGAAAAAATCATTTGATGAACATGACTGTTGAACCTAAAATTGTTTTAAATTCCGAATGTTTTGTTGGTAGTGGGAGAGATAAGTATTTGATAATTTGCGAAGTTTAATAAACATGTTTTAAATCTGGGAAAAAACAAAGAAAAGTAGATTCTCAATAAAAAGGAGCATCGCCAAGTTCAGAATACAATTATGACCTAATTTACTTGAATAGATTATTTAGAAACAAACAGTAATCCCCGCTTTGGTGTCATATGATGTGTAAATTAATGATTACTAACCGTTTGTTTTTGAAACACGACAAGATTCTTCTGATATATTTATACCTGCTTTTGAAATGGAAAGCATGCTTTCAATTAAAGGGACTAGAAAGTTTCCAACACCGCAACCGACTTCAAGAAGAGATCTTGGGGTTCTGTTATGTAAGGATGATAATTCTGTAAACTCGCGTGTTGTCCAATGGCGATCCTTTTAGATTAAAAAAAACAAAGAAAGTTATTCCTTGACAGTATTGTAAAGGATAAAATACCAACTTAATCATCACGCGTGTAGAATATTGCATTAGGATAAATGAACTGTGGTGCAACAAGCAATAGCCTACGTAGGAGATTTGGCAATGATTAGTAAAATGAATTCACCGTTCGAAATGATAATGTAAAAGATATTAGCTAAAGAGGCTGTTTAAAACTAGTGATAAAATTCATGAGCGTAGGAAAATTAAAGACCGTATCTAAGATTCGATAGATTTAGATTTCATCTTTGATGATCAGTAAATGATTAAATCAGAAATTGATATTATGGACTGTTGGTCGACAAGGCAGAAATCTCCTTAGTTTAAACCATTTTATCAACAGTTCGGAACGTCCTTGTGCATTACTGGTATAAAATGAAAGTTTTATAACTTCTTTAGACGACGAGTTGTTTCCATTGAAGCAATTCAAGTGCTGAACTTTTATTCGAATTTTCGTGAAAAAAACAAGTCTAGCATGAGAATTAATAAATACGACTTACTTACCATATTAATTTCATCATAGCCACTGCTGGAAACAAAGGCACCTAGGTCTACGTTATGGCGAAATTCATTGTTGACTGGTATTTCTTAATCTTCAGTCGTAAGTAACAACTTTGTTCGAACTATGTGGGTGATTTATTGTGCTTAAGGGGCAATGGAAGCCAATTTGTACAATGGGACTAGAATCGCCAAACCACATATCATATGCAGGACTAAATTAACTATCAGGCAGAACTGTTGGTGAATAATCACTATACTACTCGAAAATCTTGCGAAATCCATTAGCGTCAGCTGCGAAACCGGTGTCTAGGATGTTCTGCAGCATGTTTATTGGATACAAGGAGTCAGCAGATAATAACCACCACCCTTTGCAAAAACTTATGCGGTTTACTGTATCATTAAACCGCACTGCGTAGGTAACCAAATGCCTACACGGTAACTGCGTTTCGCACCAGAAATAGCAGTTGCACTTCATGGTATTCGTGCGGATAGTATACCGTCCAGTAAAGTCTCGTACTGCAAGGGTATTTCCCCATTGGCTAAAAATTTGCTCAATGTGTGCATCCCATCTTTCGTAAGTTAACAAGAGCGCGGACCTATACGTCTTCATAAGTCAAACATGCCATGAGTGTTACGGGCAGTAACTATCTTAAAATCCTCGACCACTTGATGATACCTTGTCTGCAACCAGTAGCTACTTCGCAGAAACAAATGAAATGCACAACGTACGCTTTAAATTATACATCTTTATAACCCTGTGCGTGGCTTCAGCGAAGTTGGTGTTAGTCTGCAAAAGTAGTTGAGCAAGTAACTTGAACGCTTGATTTTACTTTTCCTTTGTCATCAATAAGTTGTCCTCAAGGAAACAGAAAAAGGTGGAATCTTTCTGTTCAATATACTGACGTACAAATGGAAACTAAAAATGATATCAATGGACTAAATACCTTTGTTACCGTTCAACGTTTTTCGTGTACATTACTTCCAGAAATAATTCAAACGTACTAGTTGACACGTTCTACAGAGACAATAGTCACATAATATCGTCTGCTTATTCACCCCAGAACGTTGAATAAAACAAGAACTCTGCACAAAAAACCCTGAGCACTCGGAGAGTTGGTAGATGGAGCATTGCTTGTGACACAGCTGGCGTCAATCGTAAAAGATCCAATAGGCGTGCCAAACAAAACACTATCGCGGAAAAAACCCTTAAATCCTTTTTACTGGATCTGATGCTTTTCTGGCTTTAAATTTTAAGGTTACGTCAATAGCCTTTATGAATTCATTTAATGCTACTAACTGGCATAGTGACATTTGTCACTATGTGATATCATAAAAGTTGGAACTTTTGGGATTGGTTTTCGTCTTGTTATTACTATTATGTATATTTCTATTGCATAATAAGTAAGTAGATTACTAAATCTATATATTTCGCTTCTTTTACGCTTTCGTTTAATCCATTAACTATTAGTGAGCTGTATACTATTCCTTTTTTATTGCAGATTGATTATTCGCAGACACTTTCGGCTCTTTTATGTATAATTGTGATTTTGCGTTTTATGGTGCGATGCAGTCCAGTATTTTTATATGTAAATCCACTTGCGTTTGACATATAACAATAATGGAAACTGGTTGCTGACTTTTTGGACTAATAGGAGTTTAGCGGTGATAGCTCGAGGTCAGCCGTGTTGGTCAGATGTATAATTGATTAAATCTGAGACACTAGAATATAAAATAAATAACAGAAGTGGAATAAACAAAATTAGAACTTTGGTTCGTGAATTTAACACGTGACATTGGTTGGCATCCCAAGACATAAAACAATTAGTACGATATCAGTCAAACGACAAGTTACGTTCTTCTGATCTCATGTGCAAAGGAAATAAGATTGTAATGGACCATCTACGTTATATATATACATATTATCAACGCCAAATTTTATTTTACACAATCGTATAAATTAAAATGAAAATTATACCAAGTAATAAAAACCTTGAAAAATCGAACACCATTACGCTTGTAGAAGCGATCCCAATTTTTGCCACATTCTTTGAAAAGTTTGGTTCGTTCAAATGAACTAACCAATGTATCGATTTGTTTAGCGATGACCTTGTTTATTTTTTCACCTTCAATCATAGGGGGATCATGTTGGTCAGAATTATCATCAGCTGTGAATCGTAGATTAAAGAGTGGAAGTTTTATTTACGTAACAAAACAAAATAATGATTTAGTTGAAATATAGAAATGTTAAAATTTTACAGTGTCAATTTTTTATAGCCACTTATTGGTTGGTTAGTAAAATGATTTTACTGAATTTAATTAGAACACTGACATAAAGAACCTTTCACACAAATAGGCAGAAACAGAAATAGTATAATTTTAAAGTTGATAAAATTATTTTCAGATTGGGGTTGTGAAGATAATCGAATTTCACTGAAATCATGAATCAATCACTATTAGACCACCATTGAAAAAGTGTAAGCAATGGACGGTCGTTTCGTCCTAGGATGGGACTGAAAATTAACATGTGCTCTCTACTGACTGGCTTCGAGAGGGAATTCTCAAAGTTCTAGTCAGATGCCGTGACCAGTGGAGTTCAACCGTGTCGGGTGTGAAGCAGTTATCAACGGAAGATAATGGACAATGGTAGCGCGACAAAGTGGATTGGTTGAAGTTAGACATTAACACCGTTGGATTTCGGCCAAGTGGTCTAGAATTTAAGCGTTCGCGCACGATACCGAAGGTCCTGGGTTGGAACCCCGTGTGCAAGATCGTGGATGTGCACTGCTGGAGTCCCATACTAGGACGAAACAGATATCCAGTGCTTCCAGGTTACCGATGGTGGTCTAACGTTGGTCGGTATTTGATTTCAATGGGATAAAATTATTGTTTGAGGGAGGATGAAGTCACTTGTACTTTTTAGTTCCATGAATCTTAGAGATAAATCATATGGTTGTGTTCTGATGATTGTCTGTTTATTTAGTCTGCCAATATACTTCTAATATTCTCATTTGCTAACTGAACAGGGTATTTTAATTGCAAAATTTTCACATTTATTCAGGATATAGAGATTGCAGAACACTTGGTGAATTGCACAGTTTTTGGGATAGTTATGTGTGATACTGTTGGATCTTACATAATTATCTCCGAAACATAAATCATAACTGCAATTGACTGTTGAAAAATCAATTAGCGAAGCCTATTATTTTACACACAATGATACTTGGGAATAAAAACCCTAGCAAGAACTTTAGAAATTTTTCAGTGATTATTGGTATGAATAAGATGTCAGTTATTATCACAATGTCAGTCATATAAAGACAGAACTTGATAAAACTGTATGTTAATTCAATTCGCCATATTTTACATCACTATAGTGAGATAAAAATAAAAAACAACAGAAATTGTCTCAAACGGATTGATGCAAAGGAATTAGCTGGACTTTTCATTGTACCTAAATATCAAACCGAGCTAGGTTTATGGTTAGCTATCAGCCCAATAAAATTTATGGATAAGCATTGGTTGAAATATGTGACGCCATGAAAATGGCGAGTAAAGACACGTGCAGCTTCGCTAAACGTCCCATTTATAAGCGTTGAGTTTCTACAGGCTTCTTACAACTCATTGAAGCACATCTGTCTACTCCGGGTGACCAAGAGCTTGACAATAAACGTAAATTTTTAAGGAATGAAATTGTGCAAAGTTTGAGTAATGACTGAGAGGCCCAGTGGCCGGAGCGTGTTAATGAGTTGGAAGCAGCAGCTGCATCTGGTAACTGATGGCAGCTCTCTCAACTCTTCCAAGCCATTAGGAGCATGAGGTCTGTTGTGAGTGGAACAATATGCAAAACTGATAGGACGCAAATCAATAATATTTGGTAACATCTTAGACAATGATTAGAGCTTATCGAGGAACAGTTCATGTGGTTTGCTGCCCAGGTGACAGTTGTCAGATTGTCTTGTTCGGTATGGCCGGTGACGACTGATCCACCTGAAGAGGTGGAATTCCACAGGGAACTCTAATTCCTGAAGCGCTATAAATCACGAGGCACAGACTACTTACCACAAGCCATTTTTAAAGAGTGGTGGGGAACTTCTGGTCAGAAAACTGACTGAATTGTTTGGAAAAGTTTGAGAATTAAAGTGTTCCAACATCCTGAAATGAAGTGACAGTCGTCGGTATCTTTAAACAGAATTTACGTTATGTATGCAGCATATATCACGAGACAGATCTACTCCCTGTTGCTTCCAAACTATTGACTTCCATCATGCTTCACATATTGTTCGAAACCCATGAGGAGCAGGCTGGTTTTACTTAGGTCGAGAATGTATTGATTATATCTCTGCTCTCCACCGAACGTTAGAACACCACTATACTTATTCCAAGTCAACAATTGTTATGCTCCTTGAAATTGGGACAATCTTCGATTCGTTAGACAGGGCTGTTCTCTGCTGAAGAAGGGTGTGCCAGGGAAGCTTACTGAAATATTGAAAGTTCTGTATGCAAACACCTCAGGTAAATTAAGGGCAACACAACCACCTCTTTCAATTGTCCCATTCTAGTGAGGTTAGACAGGGTTGTACAATCTCACCCCTACTCTCCAAGTTCTCCATTGATGACATTCTGGAAATAGCTCTGATTGAAGTATGTGGTGATGGTGTGAATCCATTACCTGGAGGTAAACTTTTCAACCGTGAGTATGAGGATGAAATTGTATTACTGTTTGATGATACTCAGGCTATGTAATCCGAACCTCATCAGTTATCAATGTGTCCGTAGCACTGACAAAGGACAATAATGCTATCACTATTTACTATGTAATTTAGTTTTGCTGAGGATCGAAAACTAACTACGATTTGTACTTAATGAAGCGATTACCATTACTGAGATATTTTAGAAAAAAGGGAACTACAATTCCACTGCCAACACATTCATTATTGCAACGATATGAACAAAATGATGAATTGAAAATAAGAAGTAAATAATATTTAGAAACATTTTAAAAAGGTAATATTGTGTTGACTTCAATACTGAGGACGGTCAAAATATTTTTGGTATACTGTAGGAGACAATAAGAAAGTACTTCAGGAATATGAAACATACAAACAAATATCTTCCTTTCTATCGTAAAAAATACATTTTTGTTGAGTTTAATCTTCAAACGGAAGTTTCGAATTAGTTTATCTGAATTGGCCTATCCTAGATAGAATGGTTCGTAAACCACAGCTGTGGTAACAGTAGCGTTATTACTTGGATCTCGTTGATTTTCTCTGTTTATCACTGGATTCTCAATTTACTTATATTTTATCACCAAACTGCACATGGGTAAACATGTTTCCTACTATTACATAAGCCGTTAATGTCACTTTTCTCAAAAGTAAACAACTGGTCTTCATTGATACACGCATATTTCAGCTAGGTTTGTATTAGAAATTATCAGTCAATCAGTCAGTAACAATGTAGAACTTCGTACGTACGTACATCAGTTCGAGTTGCCACACCACATTAGCACGGAGATGCAGTTGTCGATTCAAATCCCATAGTGGTAGAGGAAGCAAGAGTATAAGCAGTAATCGGGAAGATTAGGGTTTGGAGATGTTATTTAAAGAGTATAATCCAGTGAAATAAATTTGGAAAGAGGAAAAAAGGGACATGAAGAATTCAGAAGATTATAATTTGGGAGAACACAAAGAGTTGATGCACCTGCGCCATTGCAAACGATTTTGAGCCATGTCATTCAGGGTCTCTAACCATCGGTTGCTATCATCTCGCGGTCCCCAACCAGGTAGTCTACACCTACCAACATGACTCAGTCCACTTGCCAGTGACTTCATGGACTTGTGCCATGTTTTGGTTTGGCCGCCCCTAGCTTTCTTCCAACCTACTCCTATACCACTAAATCATGCAACTACAGATAAGTTTGTCCAATAGTTTTATTGGGAATCAGATATAAATAGCACAGACACTATTGACACAAGTACAAAACGGGGATAAATGCCTTTTACTACATAAAACTATTGATTTATACGAGGTTTGTCTGCCACTTTACACTAGTCATTCATAATGTAAATAGTCTGGATGTATTTGGGATTAATTCACTTCATAATTTTACTGTGAGCTAGACTAAAATTAAAAAACATAAAATACAATACAATGCCACGAAAATATTGAGACTAGTAGTTTCGAATACAATCCAAACTTGATCAACAGAATTCAGTCAGTAGTGTGAACTAGATGACATGAAACTGATCACTTTACTAATCGACTAGTATAAAGAATTCAGTTTTACTATATTTTGATAGTACTATAAATAACTTGTTACTGTAACAGAAACACAAACTTAAATATCTACAAAAGTGTTCGTGAGGCTATAGATAGCCCTTCCTAACTAGTGTGGATTAGAATACGATCAAGATGGACGGTATTCTATCCATTAACTACAACCATCTAATTCACCATCTTCCAAAATAGGATTAATCTGGTTGCCTTGACAGAGCATAAAGACCATCGGGTAAGAGGAAAACAACCCATCCGGTATATAATTCTAGTGGTGTTGTTCACGAGTGAAAATGAAACTATTTAGTTATCCACGAGGGGTAAAATGGGTAATTAAGTGAGTGGGGATATTTAAACGTACTTGGTGAATGGGTTTTTGTTGCTTGCTCCGTGAAATCCTCTGACGAACTACAATACTCAGAACTATGCAAGTAGAGTTAAAATGAACAGGTAAACAAACCTTGAAGAACCAGCTGAAATCTGTTTATCTAGTTCAGCGTAAATATCAGCATATGATTCTAAAAACAATAGTAACTGGTTCCGAAATATGTAAACTTACCAGTATTTGAGCTATCTACACGCGTTATTTCATCCAGAAAACGTTCTTGAAAACAGAGAATTTCTTTACTAGTAGAACATTTCGCGTAAGATTGTAACCGTTGGTCATTTAATGTTAAAAATTGATGACCCCAAGAAAACTTATTTAACAGTTCAGTTGCTTGATTGTGTTCACCAAGAATATAAAGACTTGCAGCCAGAGCCTCAACACATGATAATTGAAACGGTTTGCCGTATTTTACTGGATTAGATGCAATCAAAAGTGGAAGTAGACGTCCATGATGAAATTTCAACTAAACGATAGAAAATGTAATGATAATAGTTAGGAGTATATGAATCAAAAGAAAAATAACTACAGAGCAGAATACAAATAATGGAATTTAGTGAATATTAAGAAAACAATTTAATCAAACTTCTATTCACGAGAAACGAATCGATATCGTTTAGAAATATGAGGGATTAATAAAGTTCGTGTGCGGTTATTCTTTAACGGTTGAAATAATCATCTTCTAATCAATAAGTTGCAGGTCTGGACTCTGCTTGATCTAAATCAGCATAGATAGCGGGATAGGAACTACATTTCCTACAAAAATAGTATGGTTTGAAGCTACACAACCCCATACGTCATGAGTTATAACTAACTTCTTGACACAGCTATTGTTAGCCTTCTTCCAACTTATTCCCATACCAGTCAGCATCTAACGGATACATGGGGGTTCGAGTTAACATAGGCTCATGACCCTATTTAGATGGTTTTCTACGTTTAATATCACTCACTCAGTGATTCCAAAACATGCGAACTTTTTGTGGGCTTTTACTTTCAAGTGCTCGCAAACTACAATTTGTACTTTCAATAATCATATTCCACATCTATAGCCTCTTAGTGGACAAATCTTGCCTGTACTACCTACTTCGGTTTGGGCACCCGGGAAGTATCCTAGCCCTCACAAAAATCGAGTGACTTATGTGACGCATATCTATTTGGTGCCTCCTTGTACCGTTTGTGTTTAAATAAATAAATAGTACTACAAGTGGCACTACTTGTCGTGTCCGATTAGCTTTTTATACCCATGCAGATTTTTTCGAGTTATCAACTAATCGTGGCCAATGAGAATCAAAAGGTGAGTGGAATGGATTATGCTCTAGGTAGTCACCCGGTTAGCTGTAGATAAAACGTACATAATCAGATGTCCCTCTTGATCGGCGTGTTCATAGAATATATTTTGACATTTTCAGTCAACATTTACCAACTAGTGTCTCGAAAGTTTTACACACCAGAAGTTACAAATTTCACTAATTCATAAACCAAGTACATGTTTATGTACTTCCCGATTGTCGAAACCCATGCGGATAAGGCGAGCTTTGAGTCAATCATCCGCTATTAACGTAGAACCTAGTGTACATCAGTCCAATTTCCCATACTCCACATCAGCACTACGAGAAAACCAACAGTATAGGGTACGAATAATTAACGGAACCAAAAAAAGTTTGAGTATCAGAAACAAAGTTCATAAGGAAAAAATGGATGGGTCCTAAACCTGTTTCATGTTGGTTGAATGCCGTATTTTAACCAAGAAGCAATAAGACCAAGTGTGACCAGAGTATGAAAACACTAACAAAACAAACCGGAGTACGGAATTGAAGTTGTTTAGATTTGCTATGCTAAAACGATGAAATTCACTAATCCCTACTGCATAAACGTTCTGAACAGAAATAAAACGTTTGACAGATGATCAATAGGACAATGGTCTCGATTCAAGTTATTTATCTCGACTTGAGTAATTCATTTCGAAAGGTAGTAAAAAAATGGCATACATGTATAATTCATATAACCTTACCTTTTTGAATCCAGTCTGCTCCAATTGAGCCCAAGAGCAATCCACTACAGCAATCCCACCACTATACATCAACTGACGATCAGTGTCAGGAGATAAGACACAAGTCGCAGTAGGTGTAAGAACAATGCCTCCAAAGCTTTCGTTCAGCCGTAACAACTTTGTAATTCCTAAACGAACTAATTTGCGGCCTGAGCAGCGCTTCGGATCGCACTGTTCAAAGTCCCACATAGCTGTTAGAATTTCTCTGTGTGCTTCTATTCCATAAAATAAATATGGACAAACCTACCGTTACTTAAATTACTTCCACAAACTTGTGTCTCAGCCATACCTCTCTCATACTTTGAGCTTGATGGATGTTTTCTTTTAGTTTTCATGTCCGAGAACTGAAAATACACATTAAAATCATACTGATGATAGACTTGGGCATTTTTAAATCAGCAAAGACGAACAAAATAACCTAATGACATTACCTTTCAGGATTACTAGATATATAAGGGCACAAAACTAACCGTGCATCTGATTTACATCATAGAGGTTTGGTGTTATTTACAACACTAACACATTTCGATAATGCAATGAGAAGACGTAGTTTATCAGAATTATGTGATATATTTACGCAATACAAATTTGGCTGGAGGGCACTTTGTGTTGCTGGACAAGATTTGACTAAAAAAAGAGCTTATTAACAAGACAGAAGCTCACATTCAATGCTCGTTCACTTAGAACGAATGTATTGTAGATTAAAGTTACACAATATCTTTTCTTGTAGATAAATACACTGAGCTAACGACTTTTATGTGTTATTTCTCGCCTAATGGGGCGAAACTGCTGATCCAGACCATGACACATCATTCAGGAAACAGAAAAAAAGGAAGTTAGTTGTGTGCTAAATATTTGTAAACCGTTTCTCAGAAACCTTAGCGTTATAAATCGGACTACATTTGTAAGTGTGGATTTAGATGTGGCAAAGATACAACCCTAATGCACATCCGTCAAATTAACTAGTTTTAAATTTACAGACGAGTCTTCCTCCACAGAGAAATTTTTGAACGTTACAGCCAACTGCCAACAAGTTTTGAGGTCAACAAATTAGTAGTTAATATCCGATGTGTGGTTTTTGTTTACTTAGGAACTGAAATAAATCAGATAATTATGCAAATACCGTACGCCTATCAGTGGAGTTATCTAAAATTAAGTGAAATCCTGTTTTTTTATAATCACAGAAGGAAACGAGACAATGACATTGAGTAGCAGAGATATTTTAAATCACCAATATCGATAGAAAGGTCTACATATCCTAGAAGCTTCGTGCAACTTAGGGATCAGATTGTCAGTTCACTGACACTGAAGGACCAGAAACGATAATTTTTGGCCTTTCAATGTCCTAGATGACTACATTATATCAAAAAATTTGTGAAGTTCCAAAGAAATTAGTGAATTACGTGACGACAAGCTCCATACAGTTAATTCGAGAGGCGAAATTCACACCTATGTGGACAATAGCAAAACTAGGTATGAAATGCTCGGTGTGTCGTTGATAATTCGCAGTAAGTCAGATTTGCATCGTATTTTAATGACTTTTTTTATCATATCGATGATGACAACAAGAAATCAAAAACAACCCAATTGGCTTGCAAGCAACCAATAATTATTGGTTCCCCCTTATATGAGAACAAGGGGGAGATAAAAGCGGACGAAAGCGTAAATGAACGAGAAACGTCGATTTTTTGCCTTTAAGTCTGTTATTGAGGGGAAATGTGGATTTTTCCTCCTTGCGTCGTGTATTTGGGAGAAATTTGTACACGATTATACGTAACGTACACCGTTTGAATATGCCCCTTCCTTTAAATGTTTCAAACGGTTGTGAACGGAATAGAAGAAGCCTCCGCTTAACGGGCTTCCGTGTCTAGTAGTAGTGGATCATCATTACCTCCAGGCAGGAACTTAGGTATATTAATGACAACAGAGGAAATTGGTAAATCATGGTAAGATATTATCCTTAGTCCTTAAGAATAGGTTGCAAGGCCAGCGAAATGTCTACAAGGTCAAGTTACCTCTTAACGGACTCCCGGGAAGTCGCTTGTACTAGCTCAGCCAGCAGCAAATTCCAGCATTTATAACTCTAAAAAAGTAGAAGTTGGGTCTATGGTTCGTTCTGCTGTGTTGTGTCTCCAGTTTATCAGTGTTACCCCTGAGGTTTGTGTTGGAGCAAAATATAAGTAGGTGTTTAAGGATACGTCCAGAAGTGTTAAGGATACTGTAAGCCATCAGAAGGTCGCCTCTAAGATGCCTGTACTTTAATGAGTAGAGGTTTAGCGATTGAAGACGCCCTTCATAAGGCTAGAATTTGATTTCCCGAATTGATTTCGTGGCTCGCCGTTGGGTACGCTCCAGGGTGTCTTTATCCTTTTGGAGTGAGGGAGGAAATACTATGTTTCCATATTCTAAATGGGGACGAATAAGACTGTTGAAGATTATGCGGAAACTTTTACCGTCAAACTGGCCAAAAATGCACTTCAATGTTACTAGTGCTACGTTTGCTCGAAAGGCATTTTTGTGACAGTTAGAGTAAGACTTCAGGTCGTTGGGTACCAACACTCTTTGATCTCCTTCAATTTGTGATGCTTATAGACGGGGTTGCCTAAGTTGTAACTGTAGTCTGCAACATGTCTCAAACGGACTACTTTACACTTTGAAGTGTTAAACGTAAATCCATTATCATCTGCCCAACTTTGAAGTCGAGTCAGATCCTCCTAAGGTGACAGAAAATCCTCTTGGTTCCATATCTCTCCCCAGACTTTCAAATCATCAGCAAAAAATGCTAGGCCATACGATATCTGTTGTGGAATATCGTTTATATAAATCAAGAAAAAGAGAGGTCCTATTACTGGACACTAGTGGACCCCACTAGGATATTCCATAGCCTGAGAGAGTGAAATTAACACTGACCTTAAAATGTCGATGTTTTAGTGTGGTGTTTGAATGGACCGATGATACCTTCGTACTTGTTGAATGCTTGATTTCGAATTCTAAATACAGTACATTCGTTTGTGTCTATCTAGTACTTCTTAATCCGATTACGTTATTTTCGGGATTCTTAGTTCGCACTATAATTCTAATACTCCTAATCATCATATTGGCGTCGCGATGGAGCCTGCGATGGAAAAGTTAGATATTCATTCAACTTTTGAAGATTATTTTAAAAGGTTCGAAATCTGGACTATGACCAAGGAAGATGATGAGGATGTTAATATTGTAGCACATTTTCTCACATTCATCGGAAAAGAAGCATATAGCTGATTAAGAACTCTGGCTATGCCAGAAAAGCCAATTTCGCTTTCTTATACAACTTTCAAGGATCTACTGCTACACTATGTTAAGTATACAAATTTCGAATGTGGTAAAGGAAGGAGAACTAGTAAAATGATTCATGAGGATTTAAAAAATTCCACTACATTACTACGTCATTCCGACCCAGTGCATACTCAAGGTTATGCAGATAGTTCATTGAGGAGTTGCAATGCATTTCACGAAAATGGGCACAAGTTTAGTCAGTGTTTGTCCTGTGTCAAGTTCCACTTTTTTAATTCATGTAAATCTCGTAATTCTAAGTGCTTTAAATGTGGTGATATTGGATATATTCAGTCAGTCTGTAATACTAATGTTCATCTTATTGCAACTAATATTAAGTCTTGTTATTCTGATTCTACTGATTCGAGTATTTATAATGCCGATTTATCTTTATCAACGATTGCAATAGACAGTGTAGAGTCACAGAATAGTTCAGAGTTAAATGAAACTCAGAATTCTTGCGAAACAACAGCTTATTGATAAGACATATATGTTGACCCTATCAAAATCTTTTGAGAAGTCGTGGTAAATAATGTCAACCTTGCCCTTGAGATCGAGGATGGTTGTCCATCTGTCCACCGCAGTCAACAGGTCGGTTATACATGAATGACCTCACCTGGAACCGTGATATTGGGTGAAAAGAAGGTTAAGGATAATGAATAGTCGTGTATACTGTCCTATCTCAGGGACTACACAATTTTTGAACGGCCAACGGTCGGCAGCTTGAAGGTCCGCCGCGTCGACCTCCTTTGAAAATTGGTGAGAAGTGAGCCAGCTTCCGAATTTCCGATAGTTTGCCTCGGCTTAGCGAGTGCGAGAATATAACGCTAAGCGGTGTTGCCAGTAGTAAAGCTGCTTCCCTCAGTACAGCACGATGAACCAAATCCGGGCCAGGAGAAGTGTCTTTTCTTAGGTGTTGCAGTTTCTGGCACACCAAGTCAACGCTCACGTTCATTTAAAGGTGAAGCTCTCAATAATATACTTAATATGGGTCGGTTGAAATGTCCAAGAGTATTATTCAGCCAAAAGGTTAGCGACATCACTGTTATTAGGACCTAGCAGTTGGGAAACTCCAGTTTTGGCTTGTCGAAGAGAGGATGCATTACGGAATAAGCTTTTCGGATTGGAGACAAATTTATCGATAATCTTTATTTGGTACTGAAGCCTGTATTTTCTTACTGCCTTTGTGCATATGTTCCTTATATGCTCGTATTGTCTGTACGCGTCGTTGTTATCAGTTCGTTTGTATTTTGCCCGACAGTGCTTATCGCGGCTTAGCAAACAAAAAGTGCGGTTCTTGATGACTGTAGGTTGCTTGTCGATTTTGATGACCGTTTGAGGCACAGATTGCTTTGTAACACATAAGAGCGTGTGTAGTAAAAAGTCCTAATGAGCATCCACATCAAGTTGAGGATAAACATCCCGATCCACCTGTTGTAGATAGTCCTGTAAAGCTGACACACCGTTGGAAATTTCAGCACCTGTTGTCGATGGGATGCCTTAGATCACTTTTTCTGATAGAACTAAAGGCTATGCCGGCGTCATCGCTTCTCCTCGAGGGAGCCAGGATTGAGAGATTGCCAATTAGGCATTTGTCGTTTGTAAATACCCAGTCTAAGCGCTACAGCGTCTGGCTGTTTCTCCAACCAGTTGCCGGCTTCACATTTTCGAATAATCCCAGATCCTCAATGAGGTTGAAGAACCGAGCTTCTGCCGAGTTTTCACCTTCAGTATATATATGTTCCACGAAACTGACTTTAGAAAGATTGAAGTCCTCTAGAATCAGGATATAAGTTAATCCAAGATGCGTAGGGTGGTAAGATCCTTCCAGCTTACAATTGTCGAACTCGATGTCAGCAGTGCCCTTCCTGTAGATGACCTCAGCTAGACACCTCGAGGTGGTACAACATCTTACTGAGCACCATATCGATTCCTGTACTTATATTTCCATAAACATATACAAAATAATGTATGATGTCCGTAAGTTGTAAAGAGCGGATCAACAAGATATTGATGCATCTAATGTCGAAACCCTGTCTAGGCATCAGAGATGATAACCGGATTCTGAATTATTTCTGAGATATTATTGCGGACTCACCCAGCAGCATTAGAAGTATTCTGCGGATGTGTACAAGTGTCCAGCAGAAGTACATCAGCAGTGGGGCTAACTAGCATCTCGGATTGAAAACCAATCTGCTAAGATATGTTGAACTTTGGTTGTGTACTTGTGATTTTTATACTTTAGATTTGTATATCAATGTAGATGGACTTTCTCTTTCAAGGAGCTCCAGCCAATATTTATGACATGTATTAGGACGGACTGCACCCTAAAGTTTAGTGGCGTGTTCATGATAGGAATCTATGGAAGGAATACTAAGCTGGCGGAATTCAACGAAATTTCTGCGGACACCATTTCTGAAATAAAAGAAATGACTAGCGTGGGTCTGCTTAGTGCTAAGTTTAATAAATACATAGCTATACACATGTGGTTCACCTGCTCGTCCTGATTTTAGATACACAGTTAATCACAATGGAAAGACAGGTTGTGACGGGCGTATTGTAGTTGGGAGACGGCTTGACGGGAAGATGACTTTTTCGGATGGTGAATATACGTTAAGAACTGACGATAGCTTTCGTCGTCTGATCAATCTATTCACTACCAAGACCATTCCATTTTAAACGTGCTTCCAATTAATATGATCTCAACTTTCTCGTTGGATCCAATTCACATGGTGTACTTAGGTATCATAAAGAAACTAGCAATTCTATGGATAGAATTTGCACACAAACGACTACGAAACATGAATACATGTGTAATTGGGGATATGAATAAGTTAATATCTAGTTACATGGCAAGCATGCCCTCCGACTTTCAGTGTAAATGCCGTACATTAGACTTGGTATCAGTATGGAAAGCTTCGGAGCGTCGATCGCTTCTTCTATATCTCGGCTTCGTAATTCTGAAACAAACTTCGTCGTAAACCTTGTGCCCTAGTTTTAGACGTTTACCGTTTTCAATTTATTTGCTAGCACATCCAAAATTACATAATAGCGTTACAGAAGCTGTCGGAATGGGTTTGAGGAATATGAACGGTGTTGTGGGTCTGAAAACTTAGTTTAAAATAACCATTTTACATCACCTTCCTGAAGATTTTCGTGCACATGGACCTTTAGATAGATTTTCAGCCTTCCCATTCGAGTCTTACATTAGACAAATTAGGAAATCAGTGCATAGCGTCTATGTTGTTAACAAACAAGCGGCCCAGTGTTATGCGGAAAAATGTCTTCCTGTGATAGGTTTCAAGCGAGAGTTTCGATTAATAGTGTCCCAATAAACGGTAAGGTTGACTCATACAAACAAGTAATTATAACAATACAAAAAGAGCTTCAGTTCAGCTGGATAATGTTGCACCAGTACTCGGAAAACCTGGTTTAGTCATTGATGTAGGAGAGAGTGGATTAATGGAATTTAGCTCGTTCACAGACCCACGCAGTTACTTCGTAGATC